AGACATGTGTAGGAAAGAAAGAAGGGAACTGTTCCTATTTGCTACACAAAACTTCCACTGATGACCCTTCTCTCGTCTTCTCAGGAACTTGTTCTAGCAATGATCTCTTCTCGCTTTTGAATTTACAGGCCTTTCCTCACTATTGGCTTCTTCTAGTCCTCATGTGAGGCATTGCTTCTGTTCTGTGAAACCTTACACAAAATACTTATCTGGATCCTCTTCATTCATTCAACAGATATTTACTAAATGCCTTCTTTATGTATACACCAGGCTAGGTATTAGGAATACACAGTGAAGAAGAAAAGACAAGGTTTCTGCTTTCCTTGAACTTAACAGCTCTCTCTACTTATTATCCTATCTTGCTCTTTCTTTTTCTCAGTCAAGCATCTGGAAAAAAGCAGTTCATACTCACTGCCTCATATTCTTTACTTTACTGACACTCAAACCTACCACAATTCTGACTTCCATCCCAGCACTCACTCTGCTGAAAGTGCTTTCACTCACTAAGAATCTTTTAATTGCAGTGCTGGATTCTCACCATACTTAAATTCCCTGAGGCTTCTAACACTGCTGACTAGTCCCTTCTGGACGCTATTTCTTCCTAACTCTCTGGCTATTTCTTCTCACCTAAGTATTGTATAAATGGAAGAATAAGGCACTTATTCCCTGCCCTCAAACTAGTAGTGGTGAAAAATGGTAAATAAATAATTAAAATAGAGTTTTAGATCTCAAGATTCAAGGTTAAGTTCAAATAAATGACCAATACTGCCAATCATAATATATTTCCCTAGTAAATGTGCTTTCTTACTCTGCAAAACACTTTCACACTTTCTCTTCTCTCCTCAAACCTTACCGGCCCACTCCCTCAAACATCTGAGTTGGGCTGTACCTTCTTCCCTGCCCATCCCAGGAGAGGTCCCTGGCCTTTGCTTCTTGGAGAAAACAGTTATCATGAAATGGTAAGTACTTTATCTTTCTACCACTAAATCCACTAAATTACATTCATCTACATCTACCCACTTTCCTTCTATTACTATGCCAACCCTTCAGCTACTCAAAACCTTCACTCTGGAACTTAACCCATCCTTCTTCCATATCATGTTTCTCCCACTCTACAGGATCATTCCCACTGGCATACAAATATACCTTATCTCGCTCATCTTTTAAAAAGTCAACTATCACCCAATTTCTCTACTGTCTATTTACGTGAAAACTCCTGGAAAGAGCTGTCTTTGCTGTCTCCATTTTCTCAACTTCTACCATCTTTTCATTCTGCTGCAACAAAGTTTTCATCTGTTGCAATGAATCCTATCATCAAGGTCACCAATAGTCTCCATCTCAACACATCCAATGGTTAATGACCTGTCTTCCTCTTATTATACCCCTAAGCATCTTACACTTGACAACTCTCTTTCTTGAGTTTTGTTTGTTTGTTTAGGTTTCCATAATACCCCACCCTCAAATACTAGAATGTAAGCAGAAGGATTTTTGTTTTCTTCGCTGCTGTACCCCCAATACCTAAGACTAGTGTCTGGCATTCAGCTGTTTAATAAATATAACTGATGAATTGTTTCCCATCTCTTAAGCCAGGTACACAGTAGGTGCTCAAAAACATTGTCTGAATTAATACATTAATGAAGGATCCCAGGCTCTAGCTGCTGTTGAACTATCAAGTTATTTATTGAGGACCCATCTGTACTATTGACTTTAAGGCAAGGAGAGGATCCTAACGCCAGGTCCTAGGTGTAGGTCAAGCAACAGAGGCTGCAGGGAGGGCTAACACTATCCCTGACACTAGGACAGAGAATAAACGAACTTTCCAAAGAGGTGGGAACCAAAACGTGGCTCAAGCAGCATAACCCTGAGGATGGAGCCAGGACAGAATCCCCACTGGTGGGATGGGAAATTCTGGATTTTGGCTTCCCTGCCCTGGGAATTGAGGATGGGCAAGAATGCTCTGACCCACGCCGCAGACCAAGTTAACCGGCGATGTACGTCCTCCTCCTCCGCAGAAGGACCCCGATACTCACGTTCGCCCTCTTGGCCGCTTGCATCGCCATCTTGGCAGGCTGTTAAGGTTACCGCGGCAAATATTGGAAATCCTCTGGACACCTCCGGAGCTCGCTCGGCTTCGAGGGCAACACAGCGTCAGAGGGACATCAACATCCAGACTCCGCCGGAAGCTGTTACAGCACCGCCGGAATATCACCGTCTCACGCCGAGACGCGCTGACGTAGCATCCCCTCTCGAATACACACCCAGTGCAAAATGAGCCCGAGCTTCCGGGAAGCCGGAAGATGGAAAGGCGAGCGACCAAGACGCTTCCGGGTTCTGTACCGGAAAGGGCGGGACGTGGTGCCCAGAAGGGAAGGCGTTCCTATCAGGGCGGCCCTGAGCAGAGGGAGTGGGCTGGAGGGGGCAGGGCCCGAGGAGGGAGGTATGAGGCGGGTCGGGCGGGCGGAGCGGGGCGGGGCCCGAGGAAGGCGGTGAGCAGTGGGGCGGGGCCCAGGTGAGTGGCGGGAGGGCGCGGGGCGCGCAGCCGGGAGTTGGGGACGCGAGAGCGGGCCTGGGCCTCTAGCAGTGCGCAAGGCGGAATCTATGGGGTTCAGCAGGCTTGTGTGGAGGCTGACGCTGTAACTGTTCCCCGAACCTCCGACCCTGGCGTGGCCCTCAGGTAGAGCATCGGCTGATCCGGTGTCTCCTGTAAACCCCGCGGTGACGGCCGTCCGGACTCCCACCTCACCCCTGCCCGCTCCGCGCGCTGGGACCACCCACAGAGAGCGTGCTGCCCTTTAAGTCCACTCTTTATTTCCTTGGGCCGGCTTTACACCAACCAACTACCGAGGCGGACCTGGGAGTAGCACCCAGTCTCTCGCCTGCCTACTATGAATTATCCCCAAGTTATCTCTGGAAAGGCTTAGGGTGACCGTGTCCTGTACAGCCCCTCCTCCTTCACTGGGGCAGCTCCAGGACGATTTTGCCCACGTTCTTGTTAGCCTCCATGAACTTATGAGCTTCTTGGATTCTGGTCACTGGGTAGACTCTGTCTACAACCGGCAGTAGACGTTGGGGGTCCTCCGTGGAGAAGTGGGGCAAAATTTGCTCCGTGAAAGCTTTCACCAGCATTTGCTTGTACTATAAGATAAGAAAAAGGAGACCATCACCCTGGTCAAAGACCTTACCCTGCCACTCCCCATGCTCCTTAGCCTTTCTGCTCTCTCTGAAACTACACATCTGAAAAAGCAAACAGGGACCCTTAACGCCTTCACTTCCCAGCATGCATGTGCATGCCCCTGAAGGAGCGAAGGACGTGCCATCTCAAAATACATTGGATTGGTATATTGAGTTGAAAACATTGGAGAAATTGTAGTTTCAGAAAGTGCTAGCAGACCTCTCTTCCTGAACATAGCAAGTCATAAAAATTCCTCTGGGAGGGGTACCCTCCCCATACCAGAGCAAGAAAATAGCTGTTACCGCCAGAGACTGAAACTTGGGGGCTACGATGGACCTGAATAAATATGCTTCATGAAGTAGCCTTATCTTCCATTAGTTTTACACCTCCCCATATATCTCCTAGTAACTCCCCTAGAAATTTACTACCTCTAGCCAGATTTTCTTTGTCCTGTCATTTCTTCTCAAATTTATAATTCTTTGTCTAAATAATATAAAAGCATCTTACGTTGGCCACTTCTTAGGACTTCATTCTCTTGTGAAGATCCCCATATTCATATAAGACTAACAAAATTTACTTGCTTTCTCTTGTCTTTCTTAGCACACTGAGAAGAGTTCTGCCTTTGAAAACAAAGTCTTGGAACTACTGGAAGCACTTCCTAATATGGCCAGTGCTTTGTTCATTCCATTAGAAAGTTTAGATAATATCTAAAGTATTAGCTACGCTCCTTCCAAGATACTAAGGCTTCTATCGACCAATCTGAATTAGTTCTCTGATATCAGGTTACCTATTTATCCACAAGGGGGCAGGTTTCTTCATAGGCTCCCTAAACTAAGAGCTTCCTTTCTCATGGTCATATAAATGAACCACACTTTTCTGGGTTAAATCACATGTTTTCTTTTCATGCATCACTCACCTCTTTGTCCCTAGATCTCAGCAAAGTGGTGATTAGACTTCCTCGTTTAAAAAGTAGCTTTGAAAACAGGGGCCCACTGATGTCGGCTCCTCCCATCAGACCATAGAGAATCCAGCGACCATCAAGAGCCAGGCAGTTGACATTCTTCTCCCAGTAGGATCCGCCTATGCAGTCTAGAATCAGGTTAACTCCAGCACCTTCCATGGGAGACACAGATTTGTGATGCTAGCTAGTCAGAGAAAGCTTGGTGCAAAATAAGATTCCATGGTACATTTGTGGATATATGGGTATAAATAAGTACAGGTGCAATTGGTAAATCTATATGTTGGGGAACTAGAAACATTGATCATAGAAACATTGTTTTAAGTGGAGTTTAGTTAGCAGAACTCTATCATACCATGTGTGATATAGTTCATCTTTTATGATCCCTAGCCACAGCAAGGGGCAAAGGCTCTTACCCCCAAATAGGTACAGTCCCACTGGCACCCTGGCATGGCTGAGAACAGAACAGGGGAGGGCCACCCCAGGCTACAGAGCAGGCTAGTTGTTCACATCTAAGTTATGAAGTGTTTGCACTGGGTTATCTGAATTATAGGCTTGCTAGCTTTGGTTTTATCTCTCCTTTTCCACTCATACGAAAAATGGAAAGGATGAGTCAAAAAATATACAGGTTTGGCTTTGGAATACAGGGGTGTGCACATCTATACACCCATGTACGGAGCTACCACACCCATCCTACTATGATCAACTCCAAACCGGTCTCTGCCCCGGCCTCCTGTTAACTCACTGTAAAGTGGCTGGTGGAGACGAAGAGGTCTTGGATAATTCCAGGCCAACTCTGTGTGATTGTCCAGTTTCGTATCACTTGCAAGAATGCACACAGAAACCATCTTAGACCTAACTACTGACTGCCAGCTTCCAGTGGTCAAACACCAGAGTACTAGAATTTGGCCAGGACAGCTGTTGTGCATTTACTAGAGGTGAGACAGATCCAATACATTGGCAACCTTGGGGCTGGTGAGGATTTTATTTAATCATCTCTTAAATTCCTGCTGAGCTTAAGAAGCAGTTATTTACCTTTGGTGAATTTTAGTGTTGCTTCAGAAAAATCCTCTTCTTTGTAATTGAATCCAGCAGCTGCTCCAAGCTTTTCTG